GGAAAAGGAAGCCCACATGACTGCTGGCCTGTGTGGCTCAGCTCCTTACATTGCACCTGAAGAATACGTTGACAAGGAATTTGATCCCCGTGCTGTCGACGTGTGGGCCTGTGGTATCATCTACATGGCCATGAGGACGGGCCGCCACCTGTGGCGTGTTGCTCAAAAGGGCGAGGACGAGTTCTTCGACCGCTACCTCGAGGATCGAAAACAGGAGGAGGGATACCGACCTATCGAGGTTTTGCGAAGAGTGAGTCATGATTCTTTACAAACCGCTACGAGGAATAGCTGCTAACACACATCTAGCGACAATGTCGTAACGTCATCTACTCAATTCTCGATCCTATACCCGCCCGTCGTTTGACGGCGCACCAAGTCCTTGCTTCGGAGTGGGTTTCTGAGGCTAAAGTCTGCCGCGCAGGCAACGAAGGCTTCTAAACCAACTCCACCTAGGCTGGCCCTTCTCATTCTTTAGCCTTTTCCCGCGGCTCTTTTAACACCTCCTCATCTTCAGCCATTTCCACTGGATGTTTGCCTTCATTTCTTACTCGTCTTGGATTTCTTTTTTTTGACATACCCCTTTTACGCTTGGTCCCATAGTATAGCGAAACCGTTTAGGCATCGGCACTTGTTGCATTCTCGTATGGCGTTTTCTTTCAGCAACAACACGGATCACCATAACGATACACATGAGTACTAGACGATGGCGCATGAAGGCGAGGAGCAATGGGCTGTCCTGACCAAGCTGGCGGCTGGTATGTCTTTTGGCTGGGCGGTTGGATGATTGGGCATAGACTCGACGACTGGTAATCGGACTTGGTTGATAACCTGCTCGTAGATCACGTGTAGGACGGCAACCTTGATGGAATGATTATACGAACAGCACGCAATCTTGTACATGAGCGTGTCGCGTGCCACGCTACGACACTCTGGTTGAGTCTTTGCATGTCTCTCCTTTGTTTTGGTCTTGGTTGGGAAATGGGCTCAGTACTGTATGTGACACGGCAAAGCCCTCAAGCTCTTGGGATTTATGATTGAAGTATAAGAATACAAAAACAATAATCGTACATGCATGCATCTGATGCGAAATCCACATGACAAGATAGATGGCAAGAGTTGTGGTTGCTATACTAAGCCTTCATATCGTGCTCTTGGCAGCGTCATTGGCTTCGCTAAACATTGCGCTGTGCTGAAGCAATTCACCCATGGAAGCGGTGAAACAGCCACACGTGTCAGACACGAACGCCTGTTCACGCCGCGCATTCCTCCGTGGCTGCACTTGCCCCCCAGAAACTTGGGCGGTACCCCATGTCATCTATCTCTAATATCGGACAGGCCACCTGGAACTACCCCAGGCCTCCCTCTGCCACCTGGCACTGTAACCTGCTTGCGCAAGACATGCACCCAAGCAATGCTCACGACCGGCGCCTCGCTCCATAATTGGACCATCCTTTTGCTGCTATGCAGTACATCCACATCGGTACTCGCTGAGACGGCGGCGAATGAGACGACGACTGCTGAACAAAGCGCTGCTGGTGCATATTCAGGTGCCACGACACACCATACATCGCAAGCCACTTCGTTGCCTTTGCCTTTGCCCTCGCCTTCGCCACTGTCCGCACGAAGATACTCCGATAGCGAGAGCACCTCTCCGTACCGCACCATCAACTACATTACACACACGCTACCGCAGCAATGCGCAAAGACGAGCTGGTCGGCGCCAGGAGAGACGGCCACTGTGAACGGTACAGGCGTTGAAGGGGCGGCCATCGCAGGTCTGCAAACTCCAGCCCCTGGAATATGGGTGGGGTCTGAGGGCATCGCAAACGAGGAGAGAAAGAACGCCAACTCGGACGCATCATCACAACCAGACGTGACTGGCGCCGCGCCAAGTACAGCAAGCAGTGGTACCGAAGGCACGCAGCCGGAGCTAGAGCTCGAGGTAGACTCGCCTTTTGATAATGCAAACTTTTTGTCGTTTGAGGAGTGGAAGAAGAAGAATCTGGCCAAGGCGGGCCAGTCGCCTGAGAATGTCGGGCAGGGAAGGCCGGCAGCATCAAATCAAGCTCCTCGTCGGCGACCCGTCAATGTCAATGCCCTGGACTCGTTTGGCGATGAGGGCGAAATCTCGATTGATTTTAGCGGATTTGGACGCCCAGAGGAGGGGGGCGTGGCAAATGGTCTTCAGCAAGCCAGGCACAATGCGGAGGTTACGAAGGCTGCGAATGGCGACGGCAAAGTGGCTCCAGGTTCGTGGGCGCTGAGCAAAGACGCTGGCAAGACGTGCAAGGAGCGATTCAACTACGCCTCCTTTGACTGCGCTGCCACTGTTCTCAAAGCTAACAAGCAGGCAAAAAGCTCCTCTTCGATTTTGGTCGAAAACAAGGACAGCTATATGCTGAACATATGCTCGGCCGACAACAAATTCCTTATAGTTGAGTTGTGCGACGACATCCTGGTCGATACTGTCGTTCTCGCCAACTATGAGTTTTTTTCGTCCATGTTCCGACACTTTAGAGTCAGCGTGTCGGACCGTTATCCTGTCAAGATGGAAAAGTGGCGGACTCTGGGGACGTTTGAAGCACGCAACTCTCGCGACATTCAGCCGTTTCTCATCACCGAGCCACAGATTTGGGCCAGATATCTTCGCGTCGAATTTTTGACGCAGTACGGAAATGAATACTATTGTCCACTTAGCTTACTACGTGTGCATGGCACTACAATGTTGGAGCAATTCAGACAAGAAGAGGAAGAGGCGAGAGGAATTGATGATGACGATGATCTGGAGGCTGATGGTATTGAAGTCAAGAAACCGGCGGCGGACAGCGGGCCGTTGCCTCCAGAGGATATACCCATCGAGGCTCTCAAGGACGATGGTGCGAGCTTCGCAGCGTCACAGGTCGTCGATACAACCAGTCATCAGAGTAATCCCGAACCTTATACGGAACCGGACCCTCCCAGCCCGTCCTCTGAGGCATATGGCTCGTCTACAGTTGCAAATGAGCAATCAGGTGGTCAGATGACTGATGTACCCCAGAATCAACAGGCCCCAGAACAAAGCTCGGCATCCTCGCCAACCCCTACGGATAACTTGAGAGACTTGAACATAACAGCTTCTGGAGAAAATAATGCACCCACTGTAACTTCGACAACGGACAAGGCCGAGACTTCATCCCCAGTCCACGGCTCCACAGCCGATTCCGTGGCGGTCACCTCGCCTTCTGCACCACCCAATGACAATCCCACGACTTCCTCAACCGAATCGATAGCGTCAGGATCTTCAAGCAGTTCATTAGCCAAAGTTTCTAGTGATGGCACAGTTGTTCCTCCACAGGCGCAGTCGCAAGGGCGGGGCTCGGCTACCCAGCCCAATGCTCCTACGCCATCCACTCAAGAGTCGTTTTTCAAGTCGATACATAAGCGCCTTCAGTATCTCGAGGCAAACAGCACGCTCTCACTGCAGTACATTGAGGAGCAGTCTCGCGCGCTTCGGGACGCGTTTATGAAAGTAGAGAAGCGGCAGCTGGCAAAGACTGAAAAGTTCCTGGATCACCTGAATAGCACAGTGATGATGGAGCTCAAGAGTTTCCGCAACATGTATGATCAGTTGTGGCAGAGCACAGTGATTGAGCTGGAGAGTATGAAGGAGCGACAAAAGTCTGAGATGGGCGAGATTGGCACGAGGCTGAGTTTGCTGGCGGACGAGCTCGTTTGGCAAAAGAGAATGGCTGTGGTACAATCCACATTATTGCTCTTGTGCCTTGGTTTAGTGCTTTTTGTACGGTCCGGCACGCTGGGATCCAGTGCAGATGTCCCGATTGTGCACCAGCTGGGCAACAAGTACACAAGCTTCTTCGAGACATCGCCAACACGCAACACACCCAACACAGCAGGCATGGCGCGGCGCCGCAGCACCTTCCGCAAAATGTGGAAGAGTGACACCTCTGCCGGCCTCAGCGACCACCACAGCGACGCCGAGACCGACGGCCTACGCAGCCCCGTCCAAGCCGAATGCAGTTCTCCCATCCCCGACACGCCCATCGCCCACCGCCGTGGCAGCAGCCTCTCCCCCCGCCTCGACAGCCTACAATCCACACCCGTCCGCGACCACAATCCCGATCACATGCCCCCAACCCCCATGTCCGAAGACCAAGCCGCCCGCATCCAAGTCCTAGCCACGCAATCCGGTCCCGCTACCCCCAACGGAACCCGTGATAGTCGCCCCTCGTGGGAAGAGGTCGATCGCGCAATGGACTTGCTCAAAGCCGAAGAACAGAATCAGGAACCGCTTTCGCCGGTTTCATCTCCGTCATCGCAGCATCTTCAGTCAAAGGGTAGAGAGCGGGCCGGTGGTGGGGCGGGGAAAAAGAAGAAGAGGAGTCCGTTGAGGAGGGCGCATAGTCAGTATGATGAGGGGGGTGAGGAGAGTCGGGGTGGGTGAGTAAAGTACGGGGAGAAGAGGGGAGGGGAGGGGAGTAACGGAGTAAGTAAGTGATTGTCTCCCAGAACCTTGAGTGGGGAGTTGGCTTGGAATTTGAATGAGCAACCTTCTTTTTTTCTGTTTTGCTTTTTCCCAATGCGAGCCGTTGGGCCGATCTTGCATGGAGTAGGCGTTTTTTTTCTCTTGCTTCTTCTTGGCTTCAACGCGTGATGATACACCGACATCTCTTTCTTTTCCTTTCCTTTTTCTCCGTACTCTTGTTGGGGAAAAAAAAGTCCTGGACCGCGGCCTTTTGTGTACAGCGCTGGGCTGCATGCGTGGACGAGCAAACGACATTGTCTGTAATGCATTGTAGATGGAAATAGCAAATTACATTATTTTCCGCATTCGAACTATGTAGCTACCACAAATTTCACGTGCCTACTAATTCCCTTTTCCTTGATTCGAGAATGCTTGGCGATGTGTGAGTACATTTCACCGTACTGCAACTACAGACTCTGCATTCTTTCCAAAATCCACACTCACTTCCCCCATTTTCGAAGATACTAGAGTAAGCAATCTACTGTTCGCCCCTCGCATCCCTCTCATCCTTCTTCTTCTGCCCATTCGGCACCATATTCGCCACAGGCGCCGTACCCGATGTGCTCTGTCTAGGCGCAGGCGTGGAACGAGTTGAATGGTTCACAGGCAGAGAAACTCTGCTATTCAAGTCCTCGCGGGAATATACTGGCGTGCCAAAATTCTGAAGTCTGATGTTAGGTGTGGCAGAACGGGTGTTGATGCATTTTCTGGATGGGAACTTGGGGCTGAATGGGACTGGTGTGGAAACAGGATGAGGATTCATGTGAGAAGTTTGTGTTGCGTCTTGGGTGATTTCTCGTGCTTCTCTATCTGACAAATTTGCGGGGCGGTGTGGTTGGAAGGGGGATGATGTGTTTGGTTTTTCTTCATCGCTGGTTTGCTCAGTGCCGTCGTTTGGTGCGGCGATGTCCTTCTGCTTAGGGATGTTTTGATCAACATTTAGACTCCCTGGCTGATGTACTATTCCTCCAGCGTTCTCATTGTTGACAGGGGCGTGTGAGATGGAGCGAGTTCTACCGTCGTGTCTATGCTTGTCCGGTGTGCAGTCCCCATCACTACCTCCATTTTCGTCACCCTGTGTACAACCGCAGAAATCGTGCCGGTACTTCGGGGTCTCTCTATCAACGCGTTTACCGAATGGTTCGTCGAAATCCTGGAGTACGCTCTTCAAGGTAACAATTGACCGGTGGAGGTCGGGGAAGTCGCTCTCGCAGGCGGAGTAGATGGATACGACATTCCAGGATGCCATCATCACATTGTCAAAGTTTGGAATGGCGGCTTCCACGATACTGTTAAAGAGATTGACTTTGATGTCGCTTGGAATGGTGTCGAATATCCTGCTCTTTGTATCTTCGGGGATGGTGTCAAGACCTGTGCGCTTGCGCTTGTTGGAAATATGCTGCTTGACCTGGTATGACCTACTCTGATTTACTGTTATTTGTTAGTCTCGGTACTGGGTGCAAGAATGATATGCCTACACTGTGAAGCTGGCTGGCTTTGCTCACGCTTGGGAGGATCAAGTCTTGTGAGAGTCTGAAAGGAGTTAGCAATCTTTCCCCAGTATAACCAAACACGCGACCGTGTGTCACTGCTACAAACAGAACTCCATTATGACATACATCTCCATCGTGAACGGGCGTTGGCGCCCGGTTCGCCATGTTGTAAGCTGTCCGCCTAGCTTCATTGATCTTGTTCATTCGGGAATAGATAGCATGGAACTTGTCCCTGAACAAAGGCACCATGCCTTTAGCAATGAAGCCATGAATGGGTACAGAGTCAAGAGCGCCGTCGTCTTGTGGAAGCGGATCTTCGGCGCGCATCTCTATATGGCCATTATTGACCACCAGATGGACCCGATAGATGGAATTCTTTTCCTCAGGGAGCAACACATTTCCAAGGTCAAAGTGTGTGGCTTCTGCCTTGAGTGTGACCAGGGTGAGTTTAGGTTGGATGACACCATTGACTTTTGTGTACGTCGGTGGCTCGTCTTCACTGACTCCTTCTAGGAACCCATTTAGATGTTGCGGGTCGATGAAGCGGAGTTGATCTCGCAAGATTAGAGCGCGCTTTTGAGGCTTATTAAGCGCGTTGAAGGTTGGGGCCGCAATGTTCATGGTAAGAAGCTGAATGGGTTGTGTTGGGATCGTGGCTAGACTTTTCATGAACACTGACGGCGACTGGTCAGCTCACCAACTAGAAGCAGAAGCCTGTTAGTAGGAAACGGGTTGCAATTGACTGGGAAGGGAAGCTGACAAGTGAACCCGAACAAAAAGGACCCGTTGGTGAGTATAAATACCTTAAGGCAGCAGTCTGGCACCGTCCTCTCACTCTTGCGCCATCCGGTCCGCCCCCCGCAGCCTTTGTGCTTGCGTTCTTTCACTAGAGAATGGGTATTCTGCTCTTCACGGCCAGACATTGAGCTTCTTGATTCGGCGCCTGTAGACATATCTGGGTGAATCGATGATGTTTTCATCATAATGAATCTGGAGCTTTAAGTGTCCGTGGATAAAGTGGTGTACATTTGCACATGAAAGTCGCATGATTCTAGAGGGAACAAGGTGAAATACCAGGAGAATAAAGAAGCTATGGCCGGATTTGACTCACAACGTGGCACGATTAGTCAGAAGTGAGGTCTTGGAGATGGAAGGAGCGACTAGAGCGCATGGAATTGGGTAATTCCATCGTCCGGCACAAGAATACTTCCAGCATAGCAATAACACACGCACTGAAAGCTCACATGAATCATGTAGAACCACAGCATACCACAGAAGATGACTGGTCACGGAATTATGGCTCTATGATAACCAAGCTTTGACTGCAACCAGCACACTGGCGTGTAGCTAAAAGCTGGGAATATGATACAAGACATAACTTGTGTCTCAAACCTACAAGTACAAGCCCTCAGGCTCACCCTCAGTCTTCGTCTTGAGCACGCGCTCCCTTGCAGTCCTAAAGTCTTCCATGTTTACACGCATACGGCGCTCACGTAGGGCCATGAGACCGGCCTCGGAACAGATCGCCTTGACGTCAGCACCAGAGAGGTCGTCTTTCTGGTTGATGAATTCGTCAAGATCGACATCTTCATTGAGCGACATCTTAGAGGTGTGGAGAGTGAAAATCTTCTTCTTGGTGGTTTCTGATAATGGTCAGCACTGGCATACTTGAACGGATGTCGCAACTTACGATCAGGGTTCTCAAAGAGAATTTTTCGGTCAATACGGCCAGGACGAATCAGAGCAGGGTCTAGCGTCTCAATCTTGTTGGTGGCCATGATGACCTTGACATCACCACGGTCGTCGAAACCGTCCAGCTGGTTCAGGAGTTCCAGCATAGTTCTCTGGATTTCTCGTTCACCTCCCGAAGTCGACTCATAACGCTTGGTACCAATGGCGTCGATTTCGTCAATAAAGACAATGGAGGGGGCGTTCTCAGCAGCTGTCTGGAACAGCTGTCGGACTAGCCTGGGACCGTCTCCAAGGTACTTTTGGATAAGCTCACTACCAACGATGCGTAGGAACGTAGCACTTGTCTGGTTGGCGACAGCCTTGGCCAACAGCGTCTTTCCAGTACCGGGGGCACCGTACAGAATGACACCTTTCGGTGGCTTAATGCCCATCTCCTCGTACAGCTCCGGATGCAGAAGAGGCAGCTCGACAGCCTCTCGTACTTCTTGAATCTGCGACTCAAGACCACCAATGTCTGCGTATGATTCGGTGGGCGCCTTGTCGAGCTTCATGACTGAGACGGACGGATCGGCATCATCTGTGAGCACACCGACCACGGAGACGGACTTGTGGTGCAGGAGGATGCTCGCGCCAGGCTCGAGTAGATCCTTGTCGACGAAAGACATGATGGAAACGTAGTATTCGGGGCCAGTCGCGCTCGAGACAATGGCGTGGTCGTCATCGATGAGTTCCTCCAAATTGCCAACGCCCATGGGACTGCCTCGCATGTCGTCGACGCGCGAACGCTCGTCGGCATTCCGGTCTTCCGCACCTTCTCCGGCGGTTGATGCGGCGGGCGCATTTCCTTCCTTGACGGCCTTTGCCTTGCGGAGGCGCTCCTGGTTCTCAACGTATTCCTCTTCTAGCAATAGGTGGTCGTGAATGCGCTGCATCCGGAGATATCGTAGCTTGCATCGCGCGGTCGGGTAGACGGTGGGGAGCTTTGCGGCGGCACTGGGACCAGCGGCCTTCTTCTTCTTCCTGCCGATGCGGGTCGTGGGTTGTGGCGGGGGCTCGTACTTTGGCTTATCCTTCTACAAGGCGGCTGTCAGTGTCTGGGCTGAGACACCACATGGCGGGCTCGCAAATGCTGTCAAGCCTGAGATGGCAGTTGGTACACACCTTGTCTTTCTTGCTCTTATCATCACCTGGAGGCCCACCTCCTGCGCTCGACTGCTGGTTACCCTAGACGTGGTCAGCATATCGTGGTTGCCGCTCGGGGAAGAAGCAATGTTACATACCATGACACCTGTTCAGGCAGAAGTGAGTGGATCAAGCGTGTATACCAATGAAGGGGGTCAATGACAGGATGGCCGGGCGCGCGTGGTGGGGGTGAAGGCGATGGAGACTTTGTGAGGCCGTGGATGTTTGTAAGAGGTGTTGATGTGCTGATGGCGAAGCTCGTGCATGTCGGGGGTCGGGACTAGTCCGCTGTGGCGTCACTGCACTCGATACCGCCTGGAGCCCCAGCTCTACCAACCCCAATCCATACATACTACATTTATATAGACTTGACAAGGACAGACTCACCAGATTCCTTCTGACAAACGTCTTCGTTCAAACAGGCACACAAACACACCCATCCCATCCACTGCTTGTGTCTCGAACCATCTGGAGGATCCACGCCGTCGAGCTTCAACCCCGCCGGCGAGCTTCCTGCGCCCTTCACTGGGTACGTACTTGGCCTTCATTCTCATACGGTACGGGTAGGTGGCGTGTTTTGCTTGTCCCATTCTGGCCCAGCATACGTCTATGGCTGCAGATTGCCAAACACGCTCTCCAACCGTATTCACGATGCATTCCCCGCACCGGTCGTTATGGGCCTCAGGCTGACTCTCACGTCTAGAAATACCCCGGTTGCACCCACCACCCACTTGCTGCCTACTTCCTCCAGCCTCGCCCTGCCTCCTTCCCCCCGCCTCACTTTCAACTGCACACACTCCACCACCACGCTGCCATGGCTGCATCGAACCGAAGCAGGCGCATTGCCAAGGAGATTGCCGATATCAAAAACGACCAGCACTCCAAAATCATTGTCGAGCCCGCAGGAAACGGCGATGATCTCACACATCTGCGCGGCCAGTTCACGGGGCCACCCGATACCCCATACGAGGGCGCCACCTACTTTGTCGACATCAAGATTCCTAGCGAGTATCCCTTCCGTCCGCCTGTGATGAAGTTCGACACCAAGATCTGGCACCCCAACGTCAGTTCACAGACAGTGAGTGCCCGCGCTGCCATGATCTTCTACTTAGAGCCACCCAAACCTAACAAGCACAGGGCGCCATCTGTCTAGACACACTATCGTCCCAATGGTCGCCAGTCCTGACCATCAAATCAGCCCTCATCTCGCTCCAATCTCTCCTCAGCACACCCGAACCAAAGGATCCCCAAGACGCAGAAGTCGCTGGCATGCTCATCCGGAACCCGGCCGAGTTTGAGCACAAGGCCCGTGAGTGGGCGGTCAAGTACGCCGGTGCGCCACAAAAGGAAATCGCAGAAGGCAGCGGTGGTGCCACGGCTGCTTCGATCAAGAAGAAGGCTCAACAAGCCAAGCAAAACGAAGAAAAGTCCAAACTGGCAGCATACCGGGGCTACAATAAGGACTTAATAGACCGCTTTGTGGCAATGGGCTTCGACGTTGAGATTGTCGTAGAAGCCTTTGAGTATGTTGGCATCGATCGCATGGGCGGTGAGGACTATGAGCTGGAAGAGGCCTACATGGGCGACATTACTGCCCGCCTGTTTGGCGAAGCTTGAGCCCATCATATTTTTTGCCTTCATTTTCTTATCGACATGTTACCGCACAGCGGATAAGGGCATGCTTTGTCCTAGTAATTGCCAAGACCAGCATCCTATCCACTGGTTCCTGGCATGCGCGTTGAGGGTCCCAAGGCTAGAACTGTCCACCATCCTAGACCGTCATGGCTTCTGAAGTGGATCATGAGAAGCAGGCGTTTCCTTTTCCTTCATATTATGTTATCTAACTTATTTCATCACTTACAAAGGCGTCACATGACTGGTGTTATGGCTAGGGCAGAGGACATTCCAGGATAAGTGGATTTCTCAATAAATGATTTTTCGAGCAAACAAATCTGTTCAACTGTGATTTAATGTTGTGAGGTTCTTTAAAGGATATGCTTGAGATACTGCAATCACGTGTGTCAATACCGCGACCAAAGGATTCGTCAAGGAATGAACTTGAAGTTTTCACACAAGTACTGAACCATCAGTCGTTATGTACAGTTGTTGCGTTACAAGAGCGTCGTCTGAGCATAAAGGAGTGAGGACTGCAGAGGAATAAAAGATGAGTATTAAACATTGACTTCATCAGACATACAGGAATACCAACTATACTAATCGACATACTTACCGGGACCCTCACCGTCCAACAAGTACCCTCTGACTCTTCCTCGTCTCAGTGGCATAATTCCTCTTCTCCCCCGTAACAAGCAACTGCACATGACCCTTTACAGTCGGCGTGTACGTCACATTCGCACCCTGTTGGACAGCAAATGCTTCGTATGCAGGCTTACTGTTCAGAATCCACTGAGCACTCAACTTGACACCCGGATCCCAGCGCCCGACACTGGCTCTCACCACCTGACCTACAGAGACTTTGTCGGCACCTTGAATCTGGGGATCCGCCTGGCGCTGAACCGCAGCCTTGCGGCCACCGTGCTTGATAACCTCATCCCAAACATTGCGACGCGTTGACGGCGCCGTACACGCTTCACAAAGCGGCTTGGGACCTCCGGGAGCATGCTCCTTCACCCAACTTTCCACCAACTCCAAATAATCCCAAATATCCCTATCTTGATAATTGCCCCCATGTGTCTTTTCCGGAAGGATAGTAACATTCGCCCAGCCCTTCCCACCGACCTCATCCGTCCTGTTCCTAAACTCCTGTACGCCCTCATTGAGAAAATACGTATCCCACGAGCCGACGTAGACGAAAAGCCGGTCTGCAAGCGCAGTACCGAGATTGCGAGTGGACTTGAAGTTCGCAATGATGTATTCGGTGAGATCGAATTGTTTCCAGTAACTCACAGCTTGAGGGTAGATCTTGCCGGTCACCTTATCCCATGGCTCAAGTGGATAGTTATTGTAGCCTTGGACCCCGAACACGGCGTTCCAGATGTCCCACTGGTTGAAGGAGCGCGAGGCAGTGCCGAAGGTGAGTTCCCAGTGGTTTTCGGACGCGACGGTGGCTTCGATGACTTGCGTGCCGTTGACGAAGGTTTGGATACTGGGGACGCTGCTGCCATCGTCGCGAGTGTATGCGTTGGAAGCGGTGTAGAGAGCGATGTCTTGGTGGCGGTAGAAGGATAGGGAGTCTGGGTAGGAAGAGAAGCAGGCGCCGAAGAGGTCGGGGCGGTAGATTACGTTTGCGATTGATTCCCAGCCGCCGGTTGAGCCGCCGTCTTGGATGCGGGCGTAGGGGGAGCGGATGGTGTGGAATTCTTGTTCGATGTAGGGTAGGAGTTCATCGTTTAGGGCATCGCCGTAGGGACCTAGGTTTGCGGTGTTGACGGCGTACGAGTCGTCATAGTAGGGTGCTTCGTGGCGGAAGGCGACAGTGATGAATTTAGGAACTGGCCGTTCTGGCTTATTGTCTGTTGTGGGGATGATGCCTTTGTTCCAGATGGAGGTGAAAGTCTCGTTTTTGCCGTAATTGTACGCACCAAAACCATCTGCCCAATGGTTTTGGTGGTAGATGACGGGATACCGTGTCTTTGTGTCATTGGCATTGTAGCCGGCTGGTAGCACGATGTTGGCGCCAACGTACATGTCTCGTCCCTAGAACTTGCTTAGCTTTTTACTACGGATCTTGATATGCTTGAGAAGCTCTGTGTCCTCGTAGTTGCCCTGGTTGCATCCGCTGATTTCTTTCCCATTGAAGTCGGGGACTTCGGTGATATTGTTGAAGGTCAGTTGAATGGCTTGTTGGCTGCCAGATATGGTGATGTTTGTAACTGGTGTCACTAGACTGCCAAAGCCATTGACGTTTGGCGCACCGTCGCCGCATGGAAAGCGGAGGCTAACCTTGGATCCATCGCTGCGGGTTACAGTCTCGTATCTGGTGAGGAATGCTTGTACACTGTAGGTACCTGGGTCAATGTTGTCAAGACTGGAGTTTGGCCAACCAAAGACTCCAGTTGCAGTACTGTCGTTACCACCACCAGACAACGTGACGGCCTTATCCGATCCAAACCCGTACACGTTCTTTCCGAATATCTTGTTGGGTGATGAAGTGACATCGGTGTCGTCGAGAGGATCGGTTCCAGCAGGCGCAAACATCAATACAATGCGACCATCGGTAGTTGTATCCAAGAGCCCGTTAGCAACCAATAGTTCGACGTTGAGGTTAGTGGCATTGCTGCGCTTTGTATCGGACAAGGCAGCAGGATGAGCCAATGCCCCGACAGTGAGCGAAGCAAGAAGGAAATGCTTGATCATTTTGCACACGAGAACTGTAAAACAGTCTCAATCGAAGGAAAACAAAGTTCGATCACTTAGAGTACCAAGCTTTTGGTGGGTGGGTAAGCTTTTCTATGCTCATATGAAAATCTAGGCTAACCGTCATAGTTCTAGCCACATGGAGAAGACGCAAACCCTGGCTCTCGGTCGATCGATAAAGCGGGAAACCCCAGACCAAGCGGGCTAGTCCACCAAAACGACCAATCTTCACAACAGGATATCAGCAGCACCACAATATTATTTTAAGAGAAAATTAGAGCCAGTGATCGCGCTTACTCTATAAGTACTATACCTAAGCGTATAATAACTAAAATAATATCAGTCGTGCTGCAGCAGGAGCAGCGTTTCTAAGCGGGCTTCATACCGTTGGTGTTAGGCAATTTTATTTCCAGCTTACCCGATCGACCGAGAGGCTGGCGGGTCATTGAGTGGGGGCTACAAGATAACTATCCGAGATTGATACCAAATACGAAAGATAGAAGCAATTATATCACCAAACATGTTTATCCATGTATCGTGATTAATAATTGGAGACTGCTAGTGATGCTAGTGTAGTTCCAGCACAGTGGTTTCTGGTATCACTTACGCAGGAACCATGTGTTGATATTTCTGGAAATAGTACAAGATTCACCCGTTCAACTGAGAACAGGAAGCCTAAAGTTTCTTGATGTCGCGAGCTTTAGAATGCAATATGTGCTTTGCTTGTGCAAGTAGTACAAGTGCTGTCAGGTCAAGCGGCTAACTACATTTGGCCAATGATAACATTCTGGCAGATGACAGCAACATCAATAATACTTTCATCCTGGCTCTACCTTTCTACGATTTTGTCAAATTTTTGAAGAGAATAAGGGTGGACGTGAGCATGATAACCTTTTTCGTTCTGCACTGTCTACCTAACTTACTTGACGTCACGACTTCTAGATCGACTACACTGGCGTATCCAGACACCTCACACAAGATGAACATACCTCAATCCACCCACAATGGCCCATATAACCATCAGACATAACAAGCTTGGCTTGATAAGATGCCTAAAACAAAACAACAATGCCTTCATCAAGCTCCTAGGTCTTCCCTACGGCACCATCCCCCATCGTTTCTCACGCGCGAAGCTCTGTCCAAGCCTATCAAACAGCAACAACGAGAGATACAAAGACGGTATATTTGACGCCACAGTTCCTAGTCCCTCGAGTATCCAACCATGGGGCAGTGTCAAATCCGACGCTGCAAATATTCCGCTTCCAACAGACAACTTCCCAGATGATGAAGCCCAATCCGAGGATTGCCTGAATCTCTCTATACACTTACCCAGGACGCTCATAGATGATAATGCGGAAATACACTCTACAGCCAAATTACCCGTTCTCGTCTTCATCCATGGAGGCGCATATTTTTTAGGGTCAGCAAACCGACCATACTACAACCCGGAGAACCTCGTCAGCCACGCCATACACCGCAGCACGCCCATAATATTCGTAGCCATCAATTATCGCCTCGGCGCACTTGGATTCTTGCACTCCAACCACGCGGGAGATCTGGTCCCGGAGAACAACGGCATCCACGATCAGGTTCTCGCATTCGAGTGGTTACGAATGCACATTGGCGACTTTGGCGGACATGTTGATAACATCACTGCTATCGGACAGAGTGCAGGGGCTGAAAGTATTTCCGTGCAGACTATGCACACGCCGTTGTTCAAGCGCGCTATCATGTTTTCTGGGACGCCCGTTACGATGCCTGCCATGATGCCGGACGAGCATCATGATAATTTTCTCGCGCAGGCGAAGAAACTGGGTCTTCGCATCACCGAAGAGTCTGACGATAGCGAGAGAGACGCCAGACTAATTGCAAATGATATGATAAACATCGATGTATCCAAGATTAGAGACCTAGCCTGGGTCGGTCTGCCATGTACAAACAGTACATATTTTCCCTTTGAGCGACCGAGCATGCAGTTGGTAAAAGAAGGCAAATTGGCTCCTCCAAACTGGCGTGAATGGGCGAAACCCGTCGAAGCGCAGATTATTGGGTCGACTACGTATGACGGCGGGGTATCCTACAACATGATGAGCAAAGACGGTAGCAGAAGCGGCCACGCTGAAGCCTTTACCAACATCGCTCAAGACGTCTTGGGTCCTAAAAATGGCACAGCACTTTTAGATCTGTATGGTATCAGCTCCGCAGCCAACGACGCAGACGCCCTCCAGCGCATCTGTCTGTTTGAAAGCGACATTGGCTTCTTTGCCGCAGCACTGAGTCTCGCGCAAGCAGACCTCGTGCCCGCCACTTATTTCCACGTCTTCGACCTTGGCAACCCGTTCCCGGGCCCCATAGGCAACCACGGGGCATTTGCAACGCACACTTTTGACATTGCTACATTGCTTGGTGGAGATCATGAGGATAAATTACCCGCGCACTATGCACCCGTGCTTTCGCAGTGGCGCAATCGTATTCTCGATTTTGTTGTCCATGGAACGCCACCGTGTGCGAGATATACGAGCGCTGCTGCAGGAAACGGTCTGATTGTTGACGAGAAAGGCGTAAGAGAAGTTGGCGGTGAAGCATGGCTCGATAGCCATGGCGGGAGACGAGCAAGGTTGTTTGAGCTGGCGGCTAGTATTGATCCTGACGCTGGCTGCGATATTCTCTGGCTGGAAGTCTGTCGACGATTCTTGATGCAGAGCGAGTAAAAAATCGATATCTCTGTCTTTGACTCCTCTCAAAATACATATCATTCCCTACTTTCCGTCACGTTGCCCACCGTTTACGTGGATAGATGTCTACATGATTCATTGATCAGTTCACACGCAGGATACTAAAGATCAAACCTGTTGATCGTCATCATCGGTCCGAAAATGTAACCCAGCACGTCCGTCTCTCCTCGTTTGATTCGTCACTCGGGCTTATATCTCTCGAGGTTAAGAGATAAATATGAGAAATCCCGCAACTTTGCCTCTTTCCCCGCTATCGTTTGATGCGGGGTGAATCTTACACATGCAGAGATACGCTGTGGTGTTTCCTGTGTTGACCGAACATTCGCCCGGTAAGCGTGAGACCCGACACTTTGGACCAGAACGACCCGTCTTTACAGGGAAGGTTTTCCTGGAGAACTACTTAAATGTAAAGCTTTCGCCGCGTACTTGCTTACATGTCTGTCCAAAACCATCTCGCACGAAGGATAAACATCTTATCGACGGTCTCGCCTACGCACTTCTATTACGCTGGCCCTGTGCACAAAGGCTCTTTTCCGTTGGTCTCAGTAGTACAACACGGCTCTTGGTGTGATAAGAAAGATGGCTCCCGCTGTTTTTGTCGATCCCAACGACCCCGGTGCGCCGATTGTGCAAAAGTATGCTCTCGAAGCAGCGAAGCGTTTGAGGGAAGATGGTATGAATCAGTATGAGCAGCTTCACTTTAGCGAAAATGAACGTCTACACAGCCTGATTAAAGATATATGGGCCGATCATGATGCACTTGATGCGCTTCCTTTGCCCATTGATGATGATGGTCGCGTCAAGTTTTTGATCATTGGGGCTGGGATAGCTGGAATTATCACGTCGATCAAATTGATTAAGAAAGGATTCAAACCGGAAGAAATACTCATGGTTGATACCGCCGGAGGTGTTGGAGGAACATGGTATTGGAATCGGTATCCGGTAGGCTGTTCATGCGTTACTTCGGGCCCGCATTGATGAGACTGACCACAGCAACATTAGGGATTGCATTGTGACGTTGAGTCATATTGCTATTTTCCCTTTTTGGAAGACACAGGATATATGCCTCAGAAAAAGTATTCCTCCAGTTTTGAGATTCGCAAGTACTTGGAGCAGCTCGTCGACAAGTTTGGGTTGAATAGTCGAATCTTGTTCCGCACACAAGCCAACAAACTCGAATGGAACGACGATATCAAGGCCTGGAAGGTTAGCGTAGTTATGAGACGTGGTCCAGAAGGAAAACAAGAGGAAAACCTTTCGTTTCATGCCGATACGGTTACCATTGCCACTGGTCCACTTCCTTACCCAAAAGTACCCAGAGTACCTGGATTGGCACAATTTTCCGGGCCATTGCTCCATGCCTCGCGTTGGAACTACGACATCACCGGAGGTTCCGCCAATGACGAAATACCAGACATGGCCAAGCTCAGAAACAAGGTAGTAGGTATCATCGGTACAGGTGCTACTACAATCCAACTTGTTCCCCAAACGGCCAGGTTCGCCAAGGATGTCTATGTATTTCAGCGCACACCTCCCCAAGTGTACGCTCTAGGTCAACGTGATACAGATCCCGAGGATTGGCATCAGAGGATAGCCGCGAAACCTGGGTGGCAACGAGCTCGGAGGGAGGCCTTTGCAGAAGCGGTGGTTGGGAATCGGAAAATGGAAGATGAAGATCCCAATCATGGATGGGTGCAAATAAAAAGCTTCGGCTCCCTCTACGGCAACGCTCAGTTTGGCAATGTTACACGCGACAAATTGCAGGAGCATATTGGTAGACTGCTCGCACTCGATTCGAGGAACAGCGAAAGAGTCCGCTCGCGGATATCGGAGATTGTTAAAGACAAGGAAACGGCTGCAAAGATGACGCCTTGGTACCCGACATGGTGCAAGCGTCCGACTTTTAGTGACCAGTATCTGGAAGCCTTTAACAATAGTAATGTTCACATGGTTGACACAGATGGTGCTGGAATCGATAGCGTCACAACGAAGGGTGTTGTTGCCAACGGTCAAGAATACCCGGTTGATATCCTTATTCTAAGCACCGGGTATCGCTCACCGCGTGCTAGAGGGGCTCCAGGGGCGCGTACCGGCACGGAGATTATTGGTCGTCATGGGCGTCAAATATCAGAAAAGTGGGAAACACAGGGCGTCAGTACTTTCCAAGGAGTTCTAACCAACGGGTTTCCCAATCTCTTTATGCTAGGTATGGACCAAAGTACCTCAACAGCAAATTGGGGTCATGTCATGGATGTGATGAGCGAGCACGCGACTTCCATTATTGAGATTGCCTCTAGGCAGACGCTGGATAGACCGGGGACTGTAGTGATTGAGCCCTCGGCTGAGGCAGAGGAAGGGTGGGGCATGGCAATTGCGAATTGCTCTGGCCTCTTTGGTGCAAACGTAATCTGCACGCCAGGGCATCAAAATCTGGAGGGTGAGACACTAAAGATGCCAGCGCCAGATGACCATGAAGCAATGATGAAAAGGGCAAAGTCGGTGATTTGGGGCAGAGGTATAGTGGACTTTACCCGAATGTTGGAGAGGTGGCGTGAGGATGGCAAGTTGGAGGGTCTTGAAGTGACTGTGGGGTGAGGCAGGTGCGAGTAGCGCCAACAGGCAGGGATCCACCTTGAGTTGTACAGGACACATTAAATTGACGACTGCTTTCAAGCTGAGATAAAGAAAGCGAAACTAAATTGCATTGCCATGGGATTGGCCTCGATATTAGTAGTAGCTGGTTGAGGCTTATAAATTTTCAATCGATGCAACGACTATGTCACTTGCAGGTGTTGTAATGGCAATTCCTGTCCTATTATTGTGACTATCTTATGATCCTCCTTACTGATGTTGTCATCGAAAAGAGAAAGACCCAGAGGTCAACAGCTACAGCGCAAGCGGTGAATAACATGATGATGATGCTCGAATGAATCAAGGTATCGACCGTGTCATAGCATTCGTGATGTCTGCTCTCATGCGAACGAGACTGAAGGTACAGGGGTCTCCTAGTGGTTGGTTAGTAACCATGCATGTAGGCTCGGTTCCGTACTTGCCGCTTTCAGCACTTGGTAGGCGTTGTCTGTTTCCAGCGCAACAGAGTCAGGCTTCACTCCGTCAGCCCACTTCCTTTCCCATTCTACAGTACCATGCACTCGATTCACTGGCCCGCCATCTCCAGAACTTGTTGGGTCATCTGCATATGTTCCTCCAGTGCCAGTAGCATTACCGTTCTTCACTGCACCACCAAAGCGAGTGCTGGGCTTGGCTGATGCTCCACGCTCATTGAATTTGCCGAGGATGACGAAGCCTGCTAAGCCCCAGATGAAAATGAAGGTGGCTGAGCAGCTAGCGATGAACACAGTGGGTACAACAAAGAGCAGAGAAAAGCCAACGACGAAGAAGGTGACGCTGAGGGAGACAAGTAGTCCGAGGAAGAGGCAGGTGGCCAGGGAGACAAGGAGAGTGGCGGCTACGAAGGCGACGAAGAGAACGAGGGGAATGCCTGTGAATGCGGCTTGGGTGGTAAGGAAGGCCTTTGCATAGTCGTCAGTTTGGGCAATGCAGGCGCCTGTAGAGAACATACTGCTGTCTTGGGGTTTCGATTGGCATAGTCGCGTGACTGCTCAATCATCTCCTCCCGGCGGCGGGGTGGGAGGAGTTGGTTCGTGGTAGCCCCAATCTGGGCCTCGACGCTTTTGGCGGCATGGTGGATGCGATGGCCAACATGATCAACAATGTCCCCGGCTTTCTGGGCGACGGAAGGCATTGTGGGGGTGGGGAGATCGATGGAGACGGGATGAGATGAGATGACAGGAGATTAGCAGGGGACGAAGAAGCAATGGAGACGGATGGTGTTTGTCACTGGAGGGAGAAGGAAGGATGAAAGCACAGTTGGAATTGCCTATTTACACGGCACGCCGTTACCCTCGGAGCCAGCTACAGTAATTGATGGATCCAAATAGGGCAGCGCCAGGATGGTTGGCCACGACAATGGCGTTTGGGATATGCGGCAGTGAAGAGGGCCGGGACGCGTGATTCGCGCGTACGTCATGCCATCCGCGCTAGTCAACACCCTTGTCGCTCGCCTACCATCTTTCTCCTCACCGCCCCAGCGTTCTGCCAATTCAAGGTCGAACTTTTTGACATGGCGCGACACGCCCTCCCATATCGCGCCCGCACCGACGACATGAACGACAAGAAGAGAAAGAGACACGCCGAAAACGGCGACCGGCCCAAGAAGAAGGCCGTCGTCGCGCCCCAGGGCAATGTCCGCATCGACATGGTGGAGAGCAAAGAGACGCTGGGCCCATTGCTCGGTATGTGACTGCCTCTCCAGCCTGTCGCAATAACTGCGCCGTTGCCTGCAATGCCTACCGTTTCCCGCTGACTTTCCAAAGCTGTCACTCCTGGTCTTGCCGTTCCCCCAAAAATCTCATTCGCCCCATACAAGCGCACAAAGGTCCTCCCGCAGGGCGAAAGCACCGAGCTGCTCTTCCAGTCTTCTGATCATCCTCGCCTCGACTACATCGCACAGGAAGAGCGCGATGGCAGTTCCGAGAGCCAGCTACAGGACTACGTTGGTGTTTACGACCCGGCGACAAGTAAGCTGCAAATTGTCCCCGTCAAGAGAGTTGTTGTTCGAAGCACACTGCGAAGCGAAGTCGAAGAGATGCGCCAAGAGCAGGAAGCGCTCGAGGCCCAGAACAACACAATTATGGCAAAGAGAGCTGCGCTTGCAGCTGAATTCGGATCCAAGAAGTCAAGAAAGGCCCTCGAAGACCGCACGCTGAACGCCATTAAGAGTGGCGCCGGAGCCAATGAGGTTGCCGAGAACGTTTTGAAGCAAATGTCCACCTCCACCAGTGTCATGCCCACCAGCCAAGACCTTGCGGCAGCTGTCGACAGCTCAAAACCACGGCCAGTTCCAAATCTCGCAGCGGAATACCCCGGCGATGTCTACCCGATCAGTACTGTTGTTGGCAGCGAGCTAATGACTATGCTCGACGTAAAGGACTGGGTTCAGGCATCTGCAGCTGGTCAAGGTGTTGAAGTCACTAGCAAGTACGTTGCAAGGCGCATCGTCAAGCTCGCCAAGAACAAGCAAATCCAAAAACTAAAGGTTTTGCGTTTTATTTTGCTCTGCATAAACTTTAACGCCGCTTTGGTTGGTGCAGGCGGTGCTCGGCCAAAGAAAATACCCATTAAGGGTAAGCTGGAAGCAGCCATGGGTGAAGATGCGCCAGCCGGATGTGTTTTGGCCATCAGACGGAAGTTTGCCCCCGAGGGGTGAGTGTTTCTGATTCCCCAGTTACAAGAGACGGCGTTAACATTTTTTTAGGAGCTCCGAAATGCCTCGCTGGAACGTCGATAATCTCATGACCCACATCGCAGCCGCAGCCCTTATCGTCGATGACCAAGCAGTCGACGTCAATGATCTCCGCGAAGACCTCAAACTCGAGAACAAGGAGTAAGTAGCCTGGCTTGTAGACCAGATCTGTAGCACATACTGACACTACCGATAGAATCAAGCAATACTTTGCTGAACTAGGCTGCAAACTCACACCCCCAACGCAGACAGATCTCATAAATCTGAAGCTCACAAAGGCCGAGAGTATCAATCATTTCGTTGCAAAACTCAAATTACCATTGACGTTTCCAAAAGTCGGGGGCAGGTTTAAGAGCAAGTAGTCATAGTCAATTTTTTTTAGCGTCGTGATTGCAGTTATCCACAGGCGTTCGGGTCTAGTCACCGAATTGAATGTATACATGTTTGAACACTTACGAGAAGACTTCTTCTGTTCTTGGTTGGGGTGGACCAAATTAAGTTGCGATCAATGACTTGTCGATTATTTGGTGTTTCCCTCCGTACGGGTACTGATGAGATTGCTAATCAAATCTTTAATGTGCAAAGATAATCACCTTTTCCCCGACAGTCTTGGAATTCCTCTCAATCAGGAAATAGTTGTGCGGATTGTCTTTCGAATATCCGAATGACCTAGCTTACTAGCCGTACTACTTGAAGTACTTAGTGCAGGCTTCATCTTGTATTTGGACACACTCGTCTGCCCCTTCTGTACAGGCTAGCAGATGGGTATCTCTTACCCGGAGGTATGGTAGTGGTCGCACGGATCATGGGTATGGGTTGGGTAGGGTCAGACCATTTCTGGATAGAGGTAGGGTGGGGTCGCACAGACCATGGGTAGGGGTAGAGGTATGGTAGAGGGTCACCCGCCTGCTATCCTAGTTGCCACGCGCACACATGGAATGTGCAGGATCATGTCATCCGCGTAGTTTAAATATAGTAGCTGGGTACGATGACGAATTGGGAATGTTCTAAAATCAACGTAGGCCTTGTAGACATGTCGTGCGCGTTTATTGTTCTTTTCTCACGCTTTACCATAACGCATCCTGCTCAAGTAAGGTGTCAAATGCTGAACATCCTGACGCGACATCACTTATCTTGAACTTTGAGCCAAAGTAATTCCTGCATGAGACATTGCTGTAGTCCACTGTATAAGGCGGACTGTAGCGTGGCCTCGTGCAACAATTAACTTTGGATTCCTTGTACGCGAAAACCCCCAGGGGACTGATCATAATATGCAACAAAAGCTGCAATAAGTCCAACGAGTACTCCAGTGACTCTTGTATTTTTATTTCATTCTTGTGCTATCGTATGTTTCCTATATGGACATGCAACAGCACATAAGCTGCACTGACACATCGTCCGCAGTAGGACTTTGGGAGCCCCATCCCCACCCTTCTACTCTCGACCCATTCTCCCACCGTGCTACGAACCTCAAAGGCTTCGAGAACTAAAGACTCTATGACGGAACTCAGTTCCAAATTCCCATCAAAGCCCCATGCGCATGTGAATTTTACCATGACCCTAACATGCAAACCAATGACACCACCACAACGCCATTCCCGCCATTGTCCCACCGACCCAGCAAATATCCAAAACAAACGATCTACACGTTGTAAAAACCACAAGCCACTTGTTTAGATACCGATCTGCAATGAGCCTACTACATCATTGACTTTTGTCTCTCCCGCTCCAATAGATGATTCCATGTCCAAGTGTCGCCATGACATCACGATTGTCACTCAAGCGCATCACCCACTCGCACAATCCCTATCTCCCAGTGACGACAAGCGCCCCAAACCCAAGCATGTCAAGTAATATCTACGTATCCCCTTAAATATAAATAATACTTGTCAACCCTCGAAAAAGTTACACACCCCATCCATACCCAAATTTAAATCCCAACTCCAAACCTAACCCACACAACCTCTACCTCCAAGACTCCCCTCCGAACAAAAATCCAAGATGCCCAAGTTCACCGGCCCCCTCATGGAACAACTCGGCATGGGCACAGAGAACCAATCCACGCCCAAATCCACCTACCCAGACTCAACCAACATGACCGACAGCACCACCGCGGCAGCCGATAAACTCGGCGCCAACAAATCCACAAACGCCATTCCCCAGGACAACCCCAGTATGCTCTCTTCTGCAGGTGCAATTGGGAAGAACTGTATGCTTCACATCCCTCTCACCTCTTCCCATTTGAAATATCCCATTTTCAAGTTGATATGGTACTAATGTTCGAGGGAAACAAGTCAACCCAGATGGCGCGGTAGGAGCTATTGGCCAAGCGATTGGAGGTCCTTTTAGCAAGGATGGTGTCATTGGAAGCCAGTTTGATGCGAGTAAGAATGGGATTGCGGGACATGTGGAGCGGGCGGTTGATGGGCCGAGCAATCCGGCTGGAAGCTCAAAGTAAAGTTGCTATGTAGAAGACGACTTGTAAATATAGCCAAGAGGCCAATGTATTGAATTGAGGAAAGAAATGTAAACTTGAAGTTCACTAAAACCATGTAACGTGCTGGATAAGCGAGTTGGCCAGGCAAGCGAGTTGGCCACCCCACCAAGTTTGCGCACCTTTATGAACGTTTATCTCAACAACGCAATATTATAATATATAGAGAGTAATAGAGTAGACTAAGTAGTATCTA